TTTTTTGATTTATTGTAGAGATGAGGTCTCACCAAGTTGCCCAGGTGGGTCTCAAACCCGCAGGCTCAGGCAATCCAGTCACCTCAGCGTCCCAAGGCGCGGGATTACAGGCTGAGCAACCGAGCCCAGCTGAAAATGATTCTTAATAAGAAAAAAAGCCTGGCTTGGTGGCTTAGCCTGTAATTCCAGCACTTTGGAAGGCTGAGGCAAATGGATTGCCTGAGTCGGTGGGTTCGAGACCAGCCTGGGCAACTTGGTGAGACCTCGTCTCTACAATAAATCAAAAATTAGCCGGATGTGGTAGCGCACGCCTGTAGTTCCGGCTACTCGGAAGGCTGAGGTGGAAGGATCCCCGGAGCCCACCAGGTTGGCACAGGGGTGACTGTGAATGTGCCACTGCACTCCAGCCTGGGTTGATGGAGTGAGACTCCAACTCAAAAAAAAAAAGGAGGCTGCTGGCTCCGAGTGGTGGCTTGCAGCTGGTGAAGGGGGCAAGAGGTAGGAGATCTTCTGGGTGGGCAGGGCCCTCTCCAGGCAGAGCCTTCCCTGCTGGGAGCATCTATGTCCTCCCCCACAACACAGAGATGGCCCGAGGTGTTGCAGAGCCAGAACCCTATGGCCTCCCTCCCAGGCGGCTCTGTCTCCGGCCCCCCCTCCCTGAGTGAATGGGCTGGAGCCCTTCTGAAACCTGCGGGACGAGTTTGGTCTAGGGGATCGTGCACTGCCAAGTCCAGCATTCTGGTTCTCATCTCGCTTCCATGTCATGCTGCCAAGTGCTCATCTCGTGTGGCCACTGTGTTCACATGTTCTGAGGCACAGCGCTTCACTCTTCGTAGGTAAATGAGCTACATTTGGTCGGTAATGGCGCGGGTGTGCAGTAGCGCTCACTCGGAGTACTCAGAACCTAGGCGGGACAGGGCTGCTTCTCCGTGTCCCACTGTAGGGTGGTCCAGCTTGGGCAGGAAAGGGTTTGCCCTTGCAGGAGCCCGTGACGTTCGGGGATGTGGCCGTGCTCTTCAGCCAGGACGAGTGGCTGCGCCTGGACCCCACCCAGAGGACCCTGTACCGAGAGGTGATGCTGGAGACCTACAGCAGCCTGGCCGCGCTGGGTAAGGCACGTCCTTGGGGCGCAGAGTCTGCTGTGAGAGCGTTTCCAGACCCTCTGAGGAGGACGTTGAGGGGCTCCTTTGGGCTCAGCTCACAGGTGGGCCCAGGGTGTGGCCATTGCCACCCTCTTGGCTGTATGGAAGGGCCTTGGCGTGGCAGAGTTGACAGGCTGCCTTTTCTGTGCTTTTCTTGTCTTCTGCCCCCATGCTCTGTCCCCCGATTCCACAGGGTGTTCCCGTTGAGAGAAGTGCACAGCCAGAGTCCTTCCTGAGACCACTTCCCGGCCATCCTCAAGGAGCGCACATTTCAGCCCCTCAGAGCAAACCTCTTCCCCTGCACTGCCCCTCTGCCCTGGGCACTGGGGCTGGATCTGTGCCGGGAGGCCCACCCATGGCTTTTTCTTGTTCATGAACAGGGGTTCTGTTCTCCAAGCCAAAGGTCATCTCCCAGTTAGAGCAAGGGGAAGACCCCTGGATGGTGGAAGCGGGAGATCTTCAGGGCACACGTCTAGGTGAGTAACAGCGGCTGCGAACTGGGTGCAGCATTTTCTGACTGCCTGGGCATGGTGAGGAGGCTGTGCTCAAGGGCCTTCTGGGTGTGCCTGGCAGGCTGGGAAGAGCATAGCCTTGCCGTCTGCTGTTTTTTTGATTCCTCGATTCACCAGGGTCAGAGGGAGGGTTGGATTCTCCCATATGGGTTGCACTTCCGTCAGGTGTCTCTTGTAATCTGCAGAATATGTAAGACAGTGGGTGATGGTGAAGGTGTTTAGGTCTTTTATCGTCTGTCTTTTCTCTTTTACTGGATTCTTTTCCTAAATTATTTCCTTAGTGTTTGAACACACCTTTTATCCTACAGTGCATCCCCTGTAGTTCCATCTTGGAGCAATCTTTTGCTTTGGCTCTTCTTGGTCTACAACTTACTACACATGATTCAGTGGGAATAAAAAAAGCAGATGTACATGTGCATATACATACATGAAGGAGGAAACAGGTATAGTCAAACAGTAACAGTTATGGAATTTAAGCAGAAGATTAATTATTTTCACTATGGCGTTCTTCTAGTTCTTTTCTGTGAACGTTTTCAAAGTCTGTTCTAGATCCCTCATAGGACCTATCACTTAGTTTCTAAAACCCCCGGGTAGCTCATTATAAGCTCCCACATTCTGCTCCACTTTGAGTTTTGTCTTTGTTTCTAGCACCAGAAGAGACTCTCTTGAGCTTGGCCACTTGTCTGGTGTTTCCCTCTGACTGGCAGGACAGAGGATTTCTGTGTCAATCTCCTGTGCGTTTCCATCCATGAACTCTGCCTCTGGATTGTTCCATTTGGTTCGACTAGTAAATTTTTTTCAGGGAGGGTTCATGTGTGCAATATCTGGGTGTGTCTAAAATTCATTGTATTTTCTCTCTGGGAATTGTCTTTTAGATCTAGAATTCTGCCATTAGTTGTTTTTATTTATTTATTTATTTTCCTGTTAGGATTGTCCAGACTTTGCTCCACTGTTTCTGGGCACTGAGTGTTGTTGATAAAAAGTCTTCTGTTAGTCTGATTTCCTTTATAACAACTTGCTTTTTCTTTTCTATCTTCTGCCTGGAATCTTTTTTTTTTTTTTTGAGTTGGAATCTCACTCTGTCACCCAGACTGGAGTG